ATGAGAAGAAAGTTTAACCCACGAGCCTAGCGAGTGGGTTAATTTTCTTCGAATGAATAAACATTTTAACTCACGTGATGTATACAAAATTTTATCCCATTTTAGATAGATAGACATTCGAAAAATAAGGTACTCAATAGGAATCAAATTATAAAAAGAATTCATATAGCGAGCGCATATCAAATATTGAAACTGGTAGTTGCTAGGGTATAACTAGTTGTTTGTTTGTATTTGTAGCAGATTTTTATACTGGCAGAGTGACTTAAAGACCGAGAGTGAGTTAAAAATATTTTAAGTCACTCAGGTGATAAACGTCTACTTACCTTTGTTATTATGCGTTCAATAATGTCATTTTTAAACGTCAAAATGGGATAAAAAAAAATTCTTCATGTAAATCAATTTTTTTCTTCTGCAAATTTTCGAACGGGAGGCCAGCATTAAAATCACCCATATTCTCATCAGCTTAGTAGCCACATTCAGCCCTCAAAATGCCAGACAAAAAAAAATTACTCCACTAAACAGCCCCTATCTCACAGTCTATAATGTCATTATTAATACTATCCGTCAATATGTCAGCATCTGTTCCTAGCCACAATATTGATGTATCATCAGCAAATAATGTAAAGGTTCCAGTAATGTTAATGTGAGCTAGGTCGTTAATATAAGAAACAAAAGTGGGCCAAGTACTGAGCCTTGATGAGGAACCCCATGTTCAATACCCTGACCTGTTGACAAATCCTTCAGACCCTTCACAAATTGTTTTCTATTAGTTAAATATGACTGCAGCCAGCTCAAAGTGACCCCGAAAACCATACCGGGCAAGTTTCCGCAGCAGTATTCCCCGATCTACGTAGTCAAAAGCCTTCGAGAAGTCACAGAACATTGCCGCAGCCATCTCTCCCTGGTTCAGGCCAAGATACAATATCTCGAGGAAGTTAAATATTGCATCACAAGTGTTTTTATTATTTTGAAATCCAAACTTGCTAACATTCAACAAATTATGTTTCTGAAGAAAATCCATCATTCTAGACTACAATTTTTTCCACTATTTTAGACAATGTTGGAAGAAGCGAAATAGGGCGATAAGAAGATGGATCCTCAGCAATCCCACTCTTAAATAAGGGCTTAAACAGTGCCACCTTTAGACTATCAGGGGAAACACTCTTTTCAAAAGATAGATTTATTGCAACTGCAAGAGTCTCCAACACACAATCAGGCAACTTGCCAAATATCCTCACCTGATGAATTTTTATTCTTTATTTGTCTGAATATCACTTCATGATTTACAGGACCAAATTTAAAAAAAATTAATAGAATGATGAGTTTAATTTTTATTTAAATGAAGAATATGTCTGAACATTTCAATAACTGTCAAGGAAAAACCTTTTGGAATTGGATCCACTTAGACTTGAATGGATTTGAATGCTGCATTCAAAATATCGTTCATATTGGGGCCAAATTAGGAAATCGTCTACTCAGAAAAAAATTCTTGGCCATTGGAGTATGGAGATTACCTCGGAGATTACATTATTTCAGTAGATCATTTTAATATGCTAAATGAAAAAATAGGTAATGAAAGTGAACATTCATTAGTTAGTTCTGACATTGTTCCAGAAGATAGGATGAACTTTATAAGCTCATTGACAATTTCAGAATAGGTACAAAATCTCCTTAAATATGACCCTGCAAAGGAGCTTCAAGCTATTTGAATTGGAGTTGATGTAAAGTAGGTGATATGTATCCTATTCATAGTACGGGATACGAGGCCTATTTCATCAAATCATTTTACACCGTCTTGCATTGTTATCATCAGTTAGATAACATGGTACTGAAACGCACTTGTGCAGGGAAATAGATGGGAGTGGGGGATTTCGCTGAAAAAAATGTTTCAGAAAATGTCATCATAAACGAGGAAAATATTTAATTATACACCGTCTTGCATTTATTTATTGAGTTAATTTGTACATAAACAAAATTGGATTAACACATGCAAGACGTTTTCATGGGGGTTTTGGGGTTGTAATATAAGATGGAAATTGTCAATTTTTGAGAGGGGTGAAATATCATTTTACACCACTCCATTGTTGATTTATATCAAAGCTTGAATGTAGAATAGCCACTGGATACTGATACAAGATGTCCTGTAGAGGGATAACGGGCTGCAAGACGGATGTCAATGTGTTGTCTCATGAGGGAGTGAAAAATTATTTTACACCACTTCATGCTTATGTCGGCCGAAAGAATCTATGTTAAGAAATGGTATTACATCAGTCCAAGACGTTTTATCTGGGAAAAAAGTTCAAAAATCCATTTTAATTTTTTGACTGAACTGTTGAGTTATTTACTGAACCGTTTAATGTTTATTCTTTTTTAAATCATACAGATGAAAAAGGACAGTTGACATAGCAGCTCAACAGGGGAGTCTGTTGAATACAGGAATTATAATTTTTGTTTACAATTTCAGACAGATCATTTGTTGTGTCATTTTCACATTTTTTTGCTGCTTTAAAATGAAATTCTTCAAATTTAATGCTTACAATCTGTTATGTGCACAAAACATGTTATGTGTCATGGGATATCCACCTCAAAGAGCACCTAAATGATTAAAAGCCGTCAAAAATAAAACAATTTTCAATCTTTTTTTATTTGATGTCCGTAGAAACATTCATATATACATATTATTAGGAGAATTTCGCAAAATAGAATTATTCTACGTGGTGAAGAGCAAAACTATTTAAAATTAATGTGTATAATTTGTAATTTGAAGTAGTATTCACCTTTGTACCTGATGGATTGACCCCCGTCAAAATTAGTCAACTTCATCATCGTCTTGCAGTCCTTTCTTCCCATTTAGAATGTCTTGTATTTTTAAAAATGTTATCAATGTGTTCTATTTTTCCCATAAGTACCAGTGCAAGACGGTGTAAAATGATTTCTCCCTCCCTCATAAGACAACACATTGACCTCTGTCTTGCAACCCATTATCCCCTCACAGTGCGTCTTGCATCAGTATCCAATGGCTATTCTACATTCAAGCTTTAATCTAAATCAACAATTGAGTGGTGTGAAATGATATTTCACCCCTCTGAAAAATTGACAATTTCTATCTAATATTACAACCCGAAAACCCCCAGGAATATGTCTTGCATAGGTTATTCCAATTTTGTTTGTGTACAAATTAACTTAATAAGTAAATGCAAGACGGTGTGAAATTGTATATTTTCCTCGATTATGACGACATTTTCTCGAACATTTTTATCAGCTAAATTCCCCAGTCCCATATAGTTCACTGCGCAAGTGCGTTTCAGCATCATGTTATCTAACTGATGATAACAATGCAAGACGGTGTAAAATGATTTGATGAAATATGCCTCGTATCCCGTACTATCATATTATATAGAAAAAAAGGCTGAACGTTGTAAAAGGGTTCACTTATTTCCAAATTTTTGAAAAAAGAATTAGATAGACACATTTGTATGGAATACTCAGCCTGACCATGCCGAGGTTCAGATTACATTTATTTTTTATGGTCCTGTTCAACTTTTAGGAAACGGCCCATTTACAATAAAAAGAAACCAAACATATATCCTCAATTTTGTTAAACAATATACATACCTAAGTTGTTTAAAAAGTAGCTACATGTGTATTATACCGTATTATATTTGTTTTAATTTCCTAAAAAGATTTTTTTTATCAATTAGGTAGGTAGTGATATCGAATGCAGGTTCAGGTTAGTTTAATCCCTTGCATTCTAGCCTCGATTCTAGCTTACAAAAACCAATCATTAGCTGCTTTAACTCTAAAGTTAACTTATGTAACCTTGCATTTGGTCCTATTCTCGATCCTACTTATTGATAAACTGCTCTTGTATTTTAATACTGAGCCAAATAAAAATAAAAAAAATACATTTGTTATCACAAGCAATTATAGGGATTTTCAGATTATTTGTAAGAGCCATTTGTGGGGAATTTGTGAGGAGTTTGGAGGAATTTGCGACCCAAATCTTCCTGTAATAATACAGTAACAGGAACATCATTTATTATTGTGAAAAAATTGAGAAATCATCTGCAAACGCTGATGGTATACTATGATGAAAGTTCTGTGTGATATCGTTGATAAATATATTAAAAAGCAATGGTGAACAGTGGCCGCTTTGCGGTGCACCAGATGTTGCTAAAATATTTTCAGACAAAAAACTTTTTTTACTATCAGTAAAGGAACTAGAAAACCACTGAATTAAACTAAATTAAATACTAAAAGCTACAAGTTAAAAGTTACAAAAACAAAAAATATTTTAAATTTTCCTAAGTACATTTCCTATTAAAATATAAAATTAGGAGTGGTAGGTAGATATATAGGTATTATAAAATCAGTATAAAAAAAAAAAATCAAATCTATAATTTATTGTTTTGTTTATCATCACTCTTAAAAATTAGTACTAAAAAGTTTTGCTTCCAAACCTTTGGGTATTCCGAATCATAGAATTATTGAATGAAATTGTGATTGGTTTTGTAAGTGTACCAACACATTAATTTAATGCAAAAAAAAACATAACATAGTCAGACTTTCATAAGACAAAAAAAAGTTAAATACCTACATATTTAAATAGGAATAAAAGAAGAAGTTTTCTTTGATCACGATCTGATAGAGGTCAAGCTATACTTATAGTTTTATATAAAGGGGAAAATTTCCATTTTCTCATAGTAATCTCTAATGAGATACAATCCTTTTAATGCACAACAGGCAACACAATTTCAGAATATGAGGCTTCCTGATACTCTTCCAAAATTAAGGTGGAAAGTCCTAGAGATAGAAAGACATAATATATTAGGTTCAGACCAAAATATGGAACATACCATACTTATTAGATTAATATGCAATCCGCCTAATACTAAATTATGGAATTCAAATATTTATTTGATAAACGCAGTCCTCTAACAAAAACTCAAATAGTATTTTTTGATGAAGCCCTATTTCACAGCACTAATTTCGTGTTCTAGATCCAGGTGGTACTGTATCACCTACATCCGGAGACAACATATGCTCAGGTTGCCTGAATCCTCTAGACGATGAAGAATTTATACAGGCATTGGGTCAAGAATGGCATATGGATTGTTTCAGGTAATCTACAAAACTTATGTTTGTACAATATGCTACTTAATTGGTTGCTGGTTATTTTTAGATGTTCTGCCTGTGATGCTGCCTTGTCAAACTGGTATTTTGAAAAAGATGGCTTATTGTTCTGTAAAGATGATTATTGGGCGAGATATGGTGAAGCATGTCAACAATGCAGTCAGGTAACTAATTGATGTTTTGTTCTTTTGAATAAATTATATGATTTTTCAAAAAAAAAAAAAATATCCTGAGTATAGCTTTGAGCAAACAAAAATGATCATTTGCTAAATGCCAAAGCAAATGGCAAAATATTCAAAAATAAGGTAAACTTTGCTGGACTCTACTTTTGATGAAGTAAAAACTGCAGTAGAAAGTTAATCTCCAAACTGAAATTGTTCCATTCTGCATCAAAGTTGCTACAAACATTTCATGAGAACTGAATAGTTTGTTCAACTATGACTCAACAAACATTGATTGTGACGGAAAAAATTTACACACACTTTGCTTGTTTTTTTTGGGAAGTATTAAATAGTTTATCTCTTGTAAAGAACGCCCGATAATGCAATGTAGCGGTTTTGGATTTCAAAACTCAATAAAAATGAATTGATGAAATTTTTTTTATGCATTTTGCTAGATTATTACTGGTCCAGTCATGGTTGCCGGCGAGCACAAATTCCATCCGGAATGCTTTTGCTGCGGCTCATGCAGTGCTTTTATCGGAGATGGAGACTCTTATGCCTTGGTCGAAAGATCTAAATTATATTGGTAAGAATTTACAAATAGAAAAAAATACAAACAATAATTTAAATTTTTAGTGGCCAATGCTACAAAAGGCAGATGCAGCCGTTGCAAAAAACAGCAGGATTTCCTTTTATTAGAAAACCCCACTCTATTAGATTGGTCGAAATGCCAGCCGGTGGCCAAGAAGGTATCAAATTGTCCAGAGATGTAATGCTTTCTGAAAATAGTCAGTGCTTTACTATTTCTGCGTAAGTAGTAAAAAATTTACTCTTAATAGCACTGATAAAACTGCAAACGTAAATTGATTTAGTCTTGGTCAGAGAATGGTTTCAGTTAACAAATATTAACTATTTTTAGGCAATTTAACATATTTTACTCATAATAAATTATCATGTATTCCTTAAGATTTTTAATTACATTGTTTCACTTTGACAAACATTTTTCTCCGATAAAATGATTGAAGTCTTAGTCAGCGAATAGTTTTAATGTGGCGTAATTTTACTAAAATTTAGTATTTGTTGTATTGGTTATTTTGAAATTATGTATAAGTGCCTTTATTAATCCTACTAATTTTGCTATATACAGGTTGTTGTGGAAACTACATGGGAAGCTTCTGCAGGTCGCTTTTGCCTTATTAACATCAGCTTTTAACTTCTGCTGCTTTAAGAAACCTTTTCATAGGTAGGTTCACCAATAACTATAGCTTACTGAAACACTTTGTTATGATAAAAAACAAAACTTATTTTTTTAGATTAGATGTTAACAATGACTTAATGTCGCTTCATATTGGCGACAAAATATTGGAAATCAATGGAATGCCTGTAAGAGATACTCCTTTGGAAAATGTCGAGAATCTCTTGAGATATTCTGATTCTGTTTTACAAGTAATATTTTCCATTTAAAAATGCACCTTTCTCTAAAACAATTTTCTTATCAGCTAACAATTGAACATGATCCAGAGTCAATTTCTCGTAAAATTTCGCAACTGTCGTCACTTTCAACCACCAATAGTAGCCCGCTTACTACAACGAAAAGTGACACAAACATTCCTACTAAGCGCAACATGGATGTCAAGTCTTTTGGCTCCGACGATTCACTTAATAATGAGACCAGCAGGAGCATTGAAAATATTATTTGTGCAGAACCTGAAGCTAAGAAGAGCAACAATAACAGAGGGGAAAATAAGGAGAGGTTGTACAAAAGAAAGGATGAAGGTTACATGAGTGGCACCAGATCCAGACAGTTGCGAAGGAAAAATCATTTGGCTGAAAAAGATCAGAGTTTGGATAAGGAGAGGAGTTCTTCAATGAGTAGGCTGTTGGATGAGTAAGGGATTTTTAATGTTGTAATTTAATGCCTTGGACTGATTGTTTTAAGGGCTCCAAATTCAAAAAGATGTTTAGAATTGTCCAGAGCATACTCGTTTCTAGAGTCTCGACCGCCTCAAAGAGTTTTTAGAGCTTCGGATTTGGTAAAAGGAGAACTTTTGGGTCAAGGGTTTTTTGGTCAAGTTTTCAAAGTGAGTGATCTAAATAATAATGTTTTTTGAAATTGCTAAGTGACTTTTCTTTAGGTTACTACTAAAGATACTTCTGAAGTTATGGTGCTTAAAGAGTTGTATAGGGTTGATGAAGAGGCTCAGAAAAATTTTCTTAAAGAGGTAATATTGAAGCACACAGCATCTTGAAACCATCCAATATGATTTTGTTTGAATCCGTTTTGGGATGGGTTCAATTTGCACCAGCTGTTAAATTTTATGACACTACTTGCAAATTGTATATTAATGTAAGGCTTAAAATAATCATGATTTCATGGAATTTCTAGGTTGCAGTGTTGAGATCCTTGCATCACAGCAACGTTCTTCGCTTTATCGGTGTCCTTTATAAGGAACAGAAACTGCATCTTGTTACTGAATATATTTCTGGTAAAATTAACATATGAATACCAAAATGAGTATTAGAATATTTTTTTTTTAGGTGGTACCTTGACTGAGCTGCTTCAAGACTCTGCACAACCCTTACCCTGGGAACAAAGGGTCTCATTTGCCAAAGATATTGCCGCCGGAATGGCCTATTTGCATTCAATGAATATTATTCATAGGTAAAACATAGTTTTACACTATTTTTGTTTCTTTATAAATATTATAATATTATCTTTCCGCCAAATGTTTAAATCGTACACTGCAAAAAAAACCCGTTTACATAGGAGTAAACTTCTCGTCCTAAACATGCCCAAAAAAAACCCTTTTTGAGTTTCTTTAAGTTAACTCTGAAACCCAAAATTTACTTTTAGAGTCTCTTCTAGTACATTGATAGCCCGCAGTCACTATTTTATCTAAATGCATTTTTTTTCAGGGACCTCAATTCTCATAATTGTTTGGTGAGAGACGATAAAACTGTGATAGTAGCCGACTTTGGCTTAGCCAGAATAATTTCACATGCTACAAATAGTATTAGAAGATCTCCTAAAGGTACACCAGGTTTGAAAAGTAGACAGGAACGAAAAAAACGATACACCGTGGTGGGAAATCCTTATTGGATGGCCCCTGAAATGATGAAAGGAAACAAATACGATGAAAAAGTGGACATATTCAGTTTTGGCATTGTATTATGTGAGATTATTGGCAGGGTACAAGCTGACCCAGACTTTTTGCCTAGGTCCAACGATTTTGGCTTGAATCAGATGGTTTTTAAGGAAAAGTTCTGTCAAAATTGTCCTGAACCTTTTTACAAGATTGTTTTTTTATGTACCGATTTAAATCCAGATAAAAGGTACTATCTAAACGACGATATTTTGAATTTATTGATGCATTGTTTTCCAATTAGGCCTCCTTTTGAAGTCATGGAAGTTTGGCTCGAATCACTCTCGATGCACATAGCTGTAGGTATGCCTCTGCCACCTGATTTACTGTTTGACATCCAGCATTATCGAGGTCTAAGTCCAAGTAGTTCAGGAAGTACGACTCCTGAAGGTAAGTTAATGACTTGTTTTATTTATTTATTTTTTTTTAATAAAAACTGCATTTATTTTCAAGGCTGAAGAGATTTTTAAAATGTGATTTTGGATAAAAACATTTATCGTTCTGTCTTTCCTGAGATGACTAGGTCGTTGATTGAACGTAAATATTTTATATATTTGCTTTGAGTGTGAACAATATAAATGCTTTTTCAACGTTTAAATACTATTTTTCTCATCTGTTTTGTACAGGGTGAGTCACTATATTTTGACACCCACCTGCAGCCGTAATTACAGGTGATAGGTGAAAGGTGTAAATACAAAAGTTGTAGCATTTCATCTGAACCAATAGAATTTTCAATTAGATTGAGAAAATGAGCAACACAAAATGAGAAAATATGTCAATGTTCACTTTTTTCAAATGGAATGCACTCTATTTTCTTTCAAATTCTTAAATTTCTCGTTTTTCTTAATCTATTAATGTTTCTTTCAATAGTTTTGAAAATATCTGGAGTTTAGTTATTCAAAGACCTATTCACGTATCAGAATGTTTTGTGAACAGGTGACAGTAGGTAAATCAAGGTAAAATATATTCAGTCTTTAAATAACTGGACTCCAGATATTTCCAAAACTATTGAAAGAAACATTTACACATCATATAATCTGAATCAGAAATACGAGAACTTTAAGAATTTGGAAGAAAATAAAGGGCATTCCATTTAAAAAAAGTTAACATCAACCTATTTTTTTACTTTGCGTTGCTCATTTGTTCAATCTAATTGAAAATTCTGGCGGTTCAGATAAAATGCTTCAACTTTTGTATTTACACCTTTCACCATCACCTGTAATTACGGCTGCCGGTGGGTGTCAAAATATGGTAACTGTACCTAATCGGCAATTTTATATAATATAGCCATCCATTATCTCATTCATAATCACCCGGACATTGTCAAAAAAGCTATATACTGAACTCATATTATGTTTCATACCTATATATGTATTTTTTATGTTTTTACAAACTATGTATTAATGAAAAGGGAGTTTGAGTTTGAGTATCTACCTTTGCATTGTGTACAAAAAGCACCTCCTTCTTCCATTTTCACAGGAAGTCTCCATTACCAGAATAAGTCAAATGTTATCACCCAGATACCTATACAATATATTATTGCATCGCCTTGTATATTGCAAATAACTGTATTCATATTTATTATGTACCTATGAACTTGATTTTAGGAATTCCATCGGGCCACAGAAGTCCAGCATTGGAACCCATAACCGAAGGACGACCAGCAAACTTGTCCAAAAAATCTCAACCGAAAATTTTGGATTCCATTAGCAAACCCCTTATTAGAGTATCCCCTGCTGAAAATATACCTCATAAAGTTGAAAAACTAGTGAAGCCTATTATAAAAGTATCTAGCGCTGACAGTTCAGATGCAATTACTGAAAATAAACATTCCAATAGCCTAATAGATAAAATTATTGAAGATAGTAATGCTAATATGCCTTGTAGAACTTATGAAAATTTAGACTTCCTAAAAAACGATAAAATATTTAGTAAAGACGCGCAAAAATCAATTTGTGTTAAAAATCTTGCAAGTTCAACGATAAAATCCATTGAAAAACCTCAAAAACTAAACACCAGCAAAGACAATAACTTGAAAGAACATACTTTTGATGTAACTTTGAGACAAGTACCTAAAAATTTTACTAGAAATCGTTTCATTAGGGATCTTGCAGGACAAACACCAGTTTTATTAGCGAAACAAAGCAATACTCCTCAAGAAAAAGTTAGCAATTTAAGTTTGGACAGCATCAACGCCAAACATTCCCCTGTAACTGAAAAATTTGTCAAACAATCAAATTTAGGTACCAAAAAAAACAGACCAGACTTACACTCGGCTGCTTTAGTATTTCAAGCCAATAAAACACCATTTAGCACCACTTTGTTTCCTTCAGAACACAAAGACATTTCCAGAAATCTTCCAGAAAGGTGTAGTATGTCCAGACGCAGATACACTCGGGACTCTGAAGATAGTCATGTACCTAAAAGAACCCCCTTATTACAAAGAAAAGCTGCTTCTTATAAATCGGATGAGATTCAACAAGAGCCTTCCGGAATTTTAGCCAAGGTTCTTAGAAAAACTCCAATTTTTGAACGGAAAAGTTTCAAGCCTCCCCAAGAAACTCCTCAATGCGCGCCGTCTACGAGTATGTTTAAAGCATCAGGATCTAATATGGTTAGGAGTATTGTAGATAGTTTAAATAGAAAAAGTGGAGGGTTGAGTTTTGGAAATAGAGGAAATTATGGAAGGAGTTCTTTGAAAGTGATTGGTAGCCCCAAGGTTAATTTGAAGGGGGTTAGGGGAAGTTTGGATAGTGAATTTACTGCTCTCTAATTCACGATGATTGATTTAAGAGCTGGTTTCTCTAATAATAACCCTTAGGTAAATAACATTCAATAATTGATTGGGTGTTCCATTTTTGTGTATGGCTACCAGAGATGAAGGCTGTAGTTTTTATATTATCGTGCCACTTTTGTGCTTGAGATGAATCTGTATATCAATGTTGAAAAAACCTCTACTTTTGAATTGTGATTTGCTATGGTCCAGCCCATTTGATGCAGTCCTCATTATGGCATAGCATGCAGGATAATACTCTTTCTAGATATATGTATATTTCTGTTGCATTGTTTTAAGAAATATGATAAAAATATTTTACAATAATTGAAAATGTGCTTTTTATAGTACCTAGTGATCACTGTTTTATTAAACTAGCGTTATTTTGAGTCGCGCCAATTAGAAAATTTGCAAAGTGAAAAAAATTATTAAAATATAGGAATAATTATTAATCCATGTCAATGAAAATAGATACAAAGTTTCTATTGATTAAACCATCTAAATAATTAAGTATTGTAGTTTAGTCTGACTAAACAATTTAACTAATTTACTACTGTGATAAATTAAGTATTTTTATACAAAAAATGTGTTATTTTAAATACCGCCACTGATATTAACCTAAATGAATTAAATAGTTTTTTTTTGTTGATTTCTATTACACAGATTTATTACATAATTTTGTTATTTTACAGATTGTCATCTTTTATTTTTAACATAGATGATATTTGACCTAATAGGTACTTTAGCAGCAACGAACAATGGAGGATATTTATCTATGAGCATCATCCTTTATGAGAACAAAGTAAAGATTATAATATTATTTGTTTTTGAAAAGTTGTTTGCTGAGAGCAACATTTTTTTTGTTGCTGGACAAATATTCTCCATTGCTGTTCCACATTTTAGAATTACCTACATAAAAATTAATATTTTCTTAGCATAGATGACTAGTTTATTTAACTAATATCCTTCACAAAATTGTATTTTGAGAATCTCAAAACTGCTCTTTAGACTGCTTTATACTGCTTTTCCAAAAAAAAAAAAATTAATCTTTACTAAATGTTATATGGTACCTATCTTATAGTGTAATGTTAATTATGTTCCACCTCTAAAAGCTTTATAGGTACAACCATATTTTTCTTTTTTATATTTTTTTATACAATTCTTTTTCCTCTATTCTTAATAATGTAGATGAAATAAAAAATGTACCATTTTTGTTTGTTAGTTTTATATAGAGATTTAATATTTCGATATGTTTTGCACATTTAATAGTAAATTTTTGTAAATAAAATATTTTTGAACCAGAATTTTACTTATTCTGCATGTTTGTTAAGGCTCAGTCAGTGCTAATATCATTAACAAAAAAAACTCCTTTATCCTATCATTGAATTTCCCCTATTCTAATCCACCCTCATGCAAATTAATCAGCGTTTAATCTAGAAAACAGGAACACCACCGAGTACCTGGCGTGATTGGGGCCCCTTTATCTTATCCGAGGCTCTATTTTTAACCATAAATATCGGAGGGGTCGATAAATTTCGAAAATTTACTTTGGCAGCAAACTGGAACTTGCGCAAAATAACTCCGGGGGGGAAATTGATTTTTATTTTTCCTGCTGATGGAGTAAATGCTAAAGAATTTCTATATGTATATTAGAATAAAGCGTTTTGTATTTTAGTGGATAATAATAAATACATATTAAAAAACTAAAGAAGTTGTAGGAAACTAAAGAAACTATATATTTTTTATCCTGGTAGGTTCAAGATTTTATTATGATTCCTTTAATATTTGCATGACTATTTGCCATTTTACAATAATAAAGTGCTTTTTAGCTGCAATAAATTACCAAATAACTATTTTCTCTGTCATTAACTGTACTTATTTATATTTTTGATTAGATAGGTACCTATAATTTTCTGTTGTATTTCTTTATTGCTTCGTTTGGTTTTTTAGTCAAAAATTATATTAAAAATATTCTGTTTTCTTGTGATAGTTTTATTGCTTTTAGAGCACGAGATCGTCGAATGTCCAGCACTGTCAAAGCGAGTTTTTCAGAAAACGTTAATATAAAAATTAATTGGTTTGTAAATTTTGAAAATTATTAGTTTCTGTTGCCTGGTTTACTAGCTAGGTATATGTAGCATGATGTTGTATTGGCATGTGTGTAATGATGTATTAAAGGCCACATTTAATTACAATAATCAATAGTTGATATTGATGGGGAGTCCATGGTTTCACATTAGGGCAGAAAAAAAAAACGAATTTCTGTAAAGCAATTTGTTACTTCAATAAAGGGATATTGACCCCTTTATTGAGTAAATAATATATTAAGTAATTCTTATGGAAAAGAAAAATCACCAAAACTTAGTTATTTTGTTTCTTTTTAGAATTTTTTTGCTGGAAATCTTGTCTGATAACGAATTTCCCTAAAAAGCTTGTTCCATTTTCTGAAAAATTCCTCTCAACCTACATATGGGTTGAATTAAGACATTCTTAGATATGTATTGACAAAATATTCATCTCATTTTGTGGCCCTTTATTAGAGAAAGTGAAACCTAGGTACTATTACTTATTTCTTCTAAGGTCATGAATACCTTCTATAATATTTTTTTTCTTTAGAACTTAGAAGATAGTAGGTACCTATACCTACAGTATAGTATAGCTCTGTTCCAACAGATATGAGAACCGTTCCAGAACCAATAATTTCCAGTTGCCCACCTATTTTTCAATAAGTTGAACGTTTATCTTATTTGACAAATGAATTGATCGACTGGAAATTACCATTCTAGAACGATTGTCATGTCTTTTGGAACAGAGCTTTATAATTACAGAAATAATAAATAACTTTCATAGCTTTAACCTACTGTAGTCATTGTTTAACAGTCAAAAAAATATAGTATCTATTACCCCAATTTGGTAGGAGAATTTTATACTAAAACCAAGCAGACTAAAAGATAATGAACAGTTAAACTTTCTCCACAAAAATTGGCTGTTTCTTGAGAAATGTTTGTATTCCCAATGCAAATAGGTACTCATACGCATTTGCTGCGTAGATTAGAAGCTCCCATTAAATGTTCGTGCATGCGTTAGGTCTTTTTTCAATGCTTCCAAATTTAGATTCGTTTCAGTATGGGAATTCTATTAGTAACTTTTTCGTTCTGAGGTTGAATGGGGATGAGCAAGACAAAACTGTCTTCAATCCCGATTTTTTTTTTAACATACCAGGTGTCCCACTAAGGTCGGCCAGGTACGATATTATGGAAACCATAGACCTTATGGCTTCGGGATGATGGAAATTATTTTCAAGTTTCTAGGATGACCGCTAGGGGGCGCAATTACGATGATATAGCTGAAAATTCAACTTTTCTCAAGAAATCCCTATATTAAGATACTGGTTTAACAACAGAAATCAAAAGTTCATTAATTTTGGCGCCAGTTTGGTTATTAGGCTTTTTTTCGTATCTTGAGTAATAATGGTGGGGGAAGCTGGTGAAAAATTAGGCGGGAAGGTACCAGTATTTGAGAAAGGGCCATGGAAAGCCAAACCATCGAAAGCTAAAACTGAAGCTAGAAGGGTGTTCCAATAAGAGTTTCCGGATGTTTTTTCCAATTCAAACGAAAAGCAAACTAGGAAACAATACTTTATAGCAATAACATGATCGTTTACAATTATACGTGAAACACAATAGGTATCCAACAAATGGCCACCGCGACTTCTCTCACAGCATGGCAATTCTTTTGCCAAAATTTTCGATCACATCTGTGCACATTTCCAGTGGTATCTCATGAATAATGCGTCGAATCTCATCTCTCAACTCTTGAATATTTTTCTGGGGATTGTTCACATACGCTTTACTTTCAATGTAACCCCGTAAAAAAACGTCTAGTGGCCTTAGGTCACATGATCTAGAGGCGGCCAATTAACATTCCCATTTCTTGAAAGAAGTTTACCTTCAAACCGTGTGTTTGCAATAAGTCAATGGTTTCTCTTGCTGTGTGACATGTTGCGATTGCGCCGTCTTGTTGTGGGGTTACATAAAAAATAAAGCGTATTGTGAACAATCCCCAAACAATTCAAGAGTTAAAAGATGAGATTCGGCGCATTATTCTTGAGATCCTGCTACCACCGAATATGTGCACAGATGTGATCGAAAATTAAAAGTAAGTAAGTCGCGGTGGCCATTTGTGGGATATTCTGTTTCACGTTTCACGTATAATTGTAAACGATCATGTTACTTATTGCTATAGAGAATCAAATGTTCCCTAGTTCGCTTTTCGTATGAATTGAAAAAAATATCCTGGAACTCTTATTGGAACACCCTATACAATAAAACTTTGTTCCAACACAGCAGAAAACCGTCCCGATTCTGTGCAAAACTTAAAATTTGTGCGTAATTCCGCATACTGAGGGGTTTCGAAACCGTTCATTAGACGGTTTTTTGGCGTGTTGGAACAGACCTATTGATATTTGCACGAGCATTCATCAAAATTCTGATCCTACAATCAGAACATTGCTTATTCAATTGAAAATTAGGATACTATGTTGAGGCTCCTAAATTCTTGATTTCTTTTAAACGAAAACATACACATAATTCATTTTGGAAGAAAAACATTAAAAGAGCCAGGAATAAAATTGAAAAACAAATAAAAAAATTCAAGAGCCAAAAGAAAGTTAAGAATTTAGAATAAAGAAATAAGGAAAAATCAATCAAATCAGCCTGGAATAGAAAAATTATAAAAATTCAAGAATTTGAATTGAAAGAGAAACATTTTCTTGCTTTTATTTCTCTATCACTACTCATTTTATAACAGTCAGATTTTGTCTATTCCAGGCGGTTCTCTCTAGCCGAGTTCGTTTTCTTCATCTTTTTCGTCGATTTGCTCCGAAATTTTGACAGGCACATAATTTGTGAATTGAAACTGTCTGATCCCGTCACGTGCCTATCAAAATTTCGGAGCAAATCGACGAAAAAGATGACTGAAGATAACAAAAACGAACACGGCCTCTGAAATCATTCTGAGGTTTGAAGCATAGACTTCTGCCGAAGGAAGCTATTTTTCTAGGTGTCAGTTGGTCCACTTTCTTCTGGTGTCAGTGTTGCCCACTCGAGGAATTTGAGCATCTTGCAGAATTGGGCTGGACATTCGCAGAGCAGGTACTTTGCGGTCTCTATTGCATCTGAGGAGAATCTGCAGAGATCGTCTTCTGCTCTGCCCATTAACCTTAAGTGGTATTTTACCAGGCAGTGTCCTGTGAGCAGTCCTCTACGACCATTCTGATGTCTGGTCTGCTCATGTTTAGGAGCTGTTTAGCTCTTTTTGCTGAAAGGGTGATAAAACTTTTTGACTGCAGTGGGGTAGGTCAACATTGCTCCCGTTATTCCTAGGCATATCAGCCTTTATTGTACCTTGTTTAGCTTGATCTGAACGGTGACTTGCTGAGTTTTGGGCCACCATTACAATGAGGCGCTTAGGTGAGCATGGGCTTTATTATAGTTTGGTGAATCCAGAATCCAGACCAAGATTAAACAGGGAAACATGATCAGTAAAGGCTTTATAGCAACTAAAGGACTTAAACAGGGATGTTGCATATCACCAACGCTTTTTAAAATATACTTAGAGCAAGCGCTTAAGGGGTGGAAAAACAAATGCAGACACATGGGAATACCGCTCAATGAATACAATTTATATACTTTAAGCTTTGCAGATGATCAAGTAGTAATTGCACAGGACTATGATGACCTAGAGTACATGACACGAAAACTGATAGAGGAATACGAGAAAAGGGGTTTGGAAGTAAATCTAACTAAAACAGAATATATGACTACAGGAGGTGAACAGCAAACTCTGAAATTGAATAACGGACAAGAAATAAAACAATGTACTGAATACAAATATTTGGGCATGAAAATCCCACGTGAGGGAAACCTAGACGAAGCAATTAAAGACCGGAATATACAGGGACGCAAGGCAATATAATCCCTACTAAATGGTGTACTGTGGGACCAAAATATCAACAAAACTAGAATATACAACACCATAGTCAAAAGCATAGTCACATATAGCTCAGAAGTCTGGCCACAAAAGAACAGAACCGCAAAAATGCTGGAAGCAACTGAAATGGACTTTTGAAGGAGATCCGCAGGCAGGTCAAAAATGGAAAGGATAACAAATCTGAGAATAAGGGAGATAATGGAC